TGTGTGTGTGTGTGTGTGTGTGTATGTGTGTGTGAAGTAGTACCTCATTATGGTTTTGATTTGCATTTCTGGGAGAGAACAAATGTTGATCTGCATGAAGCAGAGGGCACTGTGCCTGACTGCCCCATCTCTAAATGGTGTGGCCACCTCCTGCTTTCAAAGCACTGGCTTGGCATTCCTCTCCCGGAGAGGAGAGACTCGATTCAGGAAGCTGCCAATGCAGGCAAGTGCTGAGAGGAAACCACCTGCTCCCGGGGCTTCGGTGCTGAGAGGAGAACAGATCTCCAGCCAAAGGAATCCCACAGCCGGCTGACTGAGAACTCTGTGCTCTGCGTCTGCCTTTGTCCACGTCACCACCGAGGCACATAGCTAGCCCTGTCTTAAGCCATCTGCATTTTGAGAAAGTAAAATACGACCTAGGGGGCGTCTAAGTCAGAGGCTTCACTGATGGCAGCGGTTTCTTGAGCAGGGAGAATGAACATGGAACCAAACAGACATACACACAGAGACAGACAATCCAGGGCTGCAGCACAAAACAGACACAGATGGAGATGGGACAAAGCTGCAGCAGCCTTGACAGCCCGCAGTGCTTTATTTTAGGTACTAACTACTGGCAGTGTTCCCAGACAACTTTGCTATTCCCACACTTGAATTTCTCATAGCCTTGAGAGTGAGTTTCGTATCTTGGCCCATACCGTTGTTTACATTTCTACCAGGAAAACACTGCTTGCAGTTGCTTCCACAACCTTACCGTTTGCAGTAAGGAAGCAGTTTATGAGAACCAGCTAGGACAGACATTTGCGCGCTGTCCTAGACAGATACAAGACTCGAGACACAGTGCTCCTCTCACGGCTCCTTCACTTCACCACATCGCGTGAGGTTAAGTTTGAAACAGTGCCGACGTGTGTGGTGCTCTAGAGAGGCTGCAACCCCACCCCACCCCACTTGCTTGCTTGTTGGACTTAGAATCAAGAGGAGCCTGCAGCTGCTTTCCACTTCTGGAGGACACAAAGATGGCCTGTCATATGGTGGGCCCACAGGAGCTTTGGTGGCCTAGTGGTTCTGAGTTGGGCTGCCAACGAGAAGGTTGGCAATTCGAAACCACCAGCAGCTCCGTGGGAGAAAGACCAGGCTTTCTACTCTTGTTAACAGTCACTGTCTCGGAAACTTGCAGGGGCAGGTTAGTGCCACCCTGTCCTACAGGGTGGCTACCAGCCAGCACCGACTTGATGGCAGTGGGGTTGGTCATTAGGATGGTAAGCTCAAGGATTTGACCAGGGATGGTACTGTCGACCACATGGGGCCGTGGGATTTGTTGGGGGGTGGGATTGCTCCCATCCAGGTCTGAGTCCTGAACCTGTCAAGGCTCAGAGGTAACTGTCCCTGAAGGACGGGCTGAGATGTGTCGTCAGAGAAGAGCTTCCGAAAAGGGCAGGGGGCGTGTCCGAGAAGTGGGCAAAGGTGGGTGTGCGAGCGGCTGAGCCCCCAAATCTTCTGACGTTCCAGACGTCATGTTTGGGAAGAGAAGAAAGAGAAGGACCAGCAGGAGGTGTGCCCGTTAAACAAAGCCAGGAATTTTGCAGTTGAAAATGCAAACGGGGACCTATCCTGAAGTCTAGCAGGAAGTATACCTCCTGGCCAGGGCGGAGCGTTTGTAAAGAGTCACATCGGCCAAGAATAATGCTTCCTCTCTTCCGTCAACAACCCGAGCCCTGCGTGCATGCCACATTTGTGCCA